TTCGACCTTTAATGCTAAGGAGACAAAATTTGCTTTCGTCTGAAAAAATTATGCGTTTCCAAAATCCTGAAGACTTATTTATGTACTCCCTTACGAATGCTAAACGCTTCATTCTAATATCTTTTTAAATAAGCGGCTTGCTTCGTGAAAACCGGCCATGGTAGTAGTCTTTTTTTAATATTTTGTGTACAGTATCCACGTGAATTTGCTTCTGGAATGTCTGGTCAATATATTTCTATAACAGAAGTCCAGTTAGACGAGGATTATCTTTCACTGAATTAATAATGCTGCGGGTTTCTCTTGTTGACAGCTTGGATGGACGCCCAGATCCCAACTTCGAGGCCAATAATCCTGTTTAGTTGTAGTTGTTCACTACTCTTTGGATAAAAGAATGTGACCGCTTAACGATTTGACCAATTTCGTGATATATTTTCCTTTTTTTCCATAGATCAATAATAATACTGCTCCCACTGATAATAATTTCTTTTCCTTTATTTGCCATTACAAATTTAATTACTTTTTAATCGTTAAATTATAAAATAAGTGCATGGGATTGTGTATGAGGATATACTGTTACAGTAAAACATAACGACGTCAAAGTTCTACTATTAAAACTTCGGGAATTCCCCTTTATAATTTTTGTACGCAGACTTTTTCTGCCACCGATAGCGTTGATTTTTTACATTTTTAATTATTATAATTTTTCTACTAATTTGTTAGAAATAAGTTTAAACTTAAAATAAAGATAATGAATTAAAGTACAAACAAAAAATAAAATTGATTTAAAAAATTTACTTATTTACTAATTTTTTATATGTTGAAACAAAATTTACTTTCTGTACGCAGAGTTTTTCTGCTAAGTGTATGTTTTCAAATGTAAAATGAAACATTATCGTTTGGAGTGGAACAGTCCAGGTATTATAGCCACCGTTTGGGGAAAAGTGTGCCTAAACCAAAAACATAGAAATATAAAGACATGTAATTTGTCTCTGTTAAAAAAATCATGAATTCTGAAAAGGTACACGCAATGGGAAAAACATGTCTGTTTAAACATATAAACAATCGAACTTATTATTTTATGTATGATCAATGCTATTTTGTTAGTGAAGTCAGCAATCAAACCAATAGCGAATATGTTGTATTTTGCTTGGACAAAATCATATTTCTATGTTTTTGCCTAAACTATGAGAAATATTTTACTAATATGTAGGACTATTTATAATATTTTAAATCTAGCTAAATACTAGAGTAGATTAGAGCCAAAGTATAAAATTATCTTTAAGACCAACTTTCACAGCATATGCAGAATATGTTATCATGACGAATATATGAAAAAACCGGGAAAATTTCATCAGGGTCCATACTATGGAACTCAGGGAAGAATATATTGTTGTTGTTTCTTGTAAGTTGAAAGGTCGTAAGTTGTATAGTTTCTTGTATGGACCATAGCTTTAATTTTAACCTGCGACCTAAATTTCTGATTATTGAAACATTTCCCACACGAAACTTTTGACGGCATCGCCATATCGAGAATAGATTTATCTCCACGGCATCTGCACGTTTACTTAATTTGGATTGATTTGACATATTAGTTAAATACAAGGTATTTTCAATATCAGTTTCACATATAAGTGCGGTCTACCTTTCAGACGAAACAGACATTAAATCAAAAACTTTTCTAAATTTGGGTATTGATACATAATATCCAAATTTTAATTGGTACTATAGACCAATAAAACAAGAAACTAAGATGAGATATAACAAAATAATATAAGTATCAAAAATAAGGAGCACCGTAATGTAGATGACTAACACCATACAAAATAAATGTCTACTAAAATTTTTAAATATCGGTTGATTGCCGTTCTATCTATAATAACTGTTATATTTCTTTGTTCAGAATATTTTATTTTCTTGTTGGAATCATACGTTCACAATTATAATTACTTAAATCTGTGTTTTTGTAATGATGTGCACGCGCCTTTTTTACTATTTCTTCCCATAAGAAAGAAATGATCGTTACGATCATTGATTTATCGATCATTGATATATCGTAACCCAAGCAAATAGAAAATTGGTTTATTGTTTTTCAAAGTAGGTATTCTCCAACCTGATTTATACACTTTTGCATGCACTCAAACCAATTGTCGAAGCACTTTTTCCACTCCGATTGAGACATCTCTAAAACATGGTTTTTGAATGCTTCAACAGCATCTTCTGGCGACGAAAATCTTCAATGATTTGTCTTCTCTTATTCGTTTTTCGAATTTCTCCGAAGACTTGGTGCAAACAAATTGTTATGTACCACTTAGAAGTGACCGTCCTTCGTTGCTCAAGCGAAACAGTCGCCACATGACCAGTTTTGCCGAAGAAGCAGGCGACCATTTGCTTCGAAGTGCTTCTTCCACGAACAACTTTCGTTGGATTTGGCTCGTCTTCGAAGACCCACATGGTCGATTATTGTTTTGTTTCGGGCTCATACGCATATATCCATGATTCGTCACCTGTGACGATTTTATAAACGTCTTTGGAAGCACCATTTTGTTGATGTTTTTTCAACATTTCTTTGCACTAATCGACACGAGCCTTTTTTTGAGCGATTGTCAAATTATGCGGGATCCAATGAGAACAAGCCAGGTTCGGCCAGGTGTTCATGCAATATCGAATATATGCTAGTGGGAGAAATGCCTCTATCTCACGGTATGTCGCATGACGATCTTACATTATCAGTTCGCAGAATTCGTCGTTGAGCGAGCGTCGGCCACGATTGAATTCATTAAACCAATTTTTCACAGTGCTATAGGATGGTGTTTCATCGCCATACAAAGATTTAAGTTCATCAATGCATTCTTGTCGGGATAATCTACGTTGAAAGTTATGAAAAATGATCGCACGAAAATGTTCACGTGTTAATTCCATTTTTTGGCCGAGATGAATTTTTTAAGTTTCTGTAAATAAAATAATTTACAATTAAATGACAACACGTGAGTGATGTTATGCTAAAAAATGTCAACCTTTCCAAAAGAAATGTCAGATTGCACCTAGCAACACTTAGTGTTGCCTAGGCCAGAAATATATATAGCAGCTCTCATAATTGAATTTGTTAGTAAGATAAATTTTATTATTTTTACTGAGCAAAAACTGTTTCTTGAATTTTCCAAATATTTTCCAATTATATGATTGGCATTATACTATACATATCGTTGTCTCTCGTCGTATGTCATTGGCGCAACACATATACAGAATAAAACTACTAAGCAATTTCTTCATGCCTCGGATACAGACACATATCCATATGGCGCGACATGTATAAAGTCCTCCGTGTTGCATGCGCAGTGAATGAAGCACAAATCAAGTGTTGTACTTTAACAAAGAGAAAGAGAGAGGGTAGGGCACACAGTAGATTAAATTCCTGCACCCGTCCCAGCTCACATTACCGGAACTGATTCTTAAACTTTTTTGATGCGCGATACTGTAGAAATTTATTTCACTTTTATTCTAGAGTAATTAAAAAGAATGTATTTCACAAGCAAGCAAAAAGATAACTCTTATAAAACGGAGAATGGCCTTGCAATTAGTAACTAAAAACTATGTGATAGAAATGATGCCAGATTTGGTTTATTATAGTATTTTCAACAGATACACATTCAAGAATTTAAAGAATTTGACGTCTCATCTTAACCGTGGCAGAATCGTTGATAATAACTGGTCTATACCATTCCTGAGTGAAATCCCATTACCGTCTAGAAGTAATACTTCCAGATCGGAAAGAAAAGCATTCGTAATATTTTTTGAAACTTGTACTTTTTATTAGATTTTTTATCTTTTTCGGCATTTATGTGTTTGTATATTTGATAAAATGAAGCAAAATTATTTACGCAGCTTTGTTTTTACTTTTTTAAGTTATATTTAATGAGTATACATAAACATAGGAATTATGTAGTAATTTTATTATATCAAAAATTTTTATTCTAATTCTAGAGTATTTATGCAATTAATTTATTCATAATTAACTCGATTTTGTTTTTTAAATGCATAAATGATGAATTAATTTTTGCAAAATTAATATGGAATCAATTCGATACAAAAATATCAGAAATTCTTTTTATTTTAAAAAAATGAAATTACAATCAATTTATAATTCAAATTATTTAGTAAATTAAGTAGATTTATGAGTTCGCATACTTTTTGATCAATTTCGAACTGAGTTTTGTGATTGCGTGGACCCGAACCGATCGTCCACATTTGAATTTCGAACTTAGAATTTAATGACTTATTTTGCTATTACATTTATGCTTTGTTTCTTGCTTTTTATGCGTATGTGTTTTAAAAATAATTTGCATATGTACTCATATATACACGCCTATTTTCATACCATATGTGCTTCACTGTTTGATGTTCGAACTCACTTTGGAATTGTAAATCTGCTTAGAATTCGTATGGATTCAGCAAATCCACGGACACAGTGTGGTTTCCGAATATTTTCGAGTGGACAGCTTTTACCCGGCCCGAGTGCAAGCATATTCGGAAATTAAAGCACAATAATTTATATAAGCGTATACATATGTACATACCTCCATGTATATAATTAGGCAAATTGAGTAAATGGATTTGTTTTTTGTTACATACAATTTTATTTCGATAACGACTTTCAACTATTCTAGATTGTTTCAATTGTTTTTAACGTTTTTTGTGTCTTAAATCACTTAGAAACTTCATGTCATGCTTTACGCGATAATAATAAATGTGTATGTAATAATAATTGTTGGCTTACTACTAAAAAATTTAACTTAAATTTACTATCACAGCCCATTTTGAATTAAACTTAAATTCATTTTTTAAATAAGTTTCTATTGTTGATTACTCAATGTTGTCCAAAAATGATTACTGCAAATCTGGATTTCCATATTAGTATTAAGTGCTAATATTTACGTTGTAACAATTTTTACATATGTTTTCTCTTAATCTTTTTTCAATTTAGTATAATTTTTTGAGGCTTCGTTTGGTGTCAAAAACAAATTTAAGAATATTTGATTTTTTTTTTTTTTGTTAATTTTATTAAAATACTAATTGCACTTTTGTATAGAAAATAAAAGGTTTCTCTTTCAATTTTATTTTAACTTGTTTTCTCTTAGTAATTTAGATTTTGTAAAGTAATTTAAAAAAATACTGATTTTTGTCATTATATTACTATTCTCTCATCTCTCTTTCCCTTTATAAAGTGTCTTACTCGCTGCTTTTGTTCTGTACTTGTCGTTATTGTTTTTGTTGTACTAGTTTAGCACGACTAGTTTGTTTAGCTGCTGTTCAAATTCAAGAATGTTCCACTTTAAGGCTTATTCTGAATTTACAGTTCATTTTCAATGTTTCTGTTCTGGTCTGTTCTGTTTTGTGAAAATTATTCGGTATTTGGTAAGTTTAACTATTATTTGCGTAGTAAACCAGAAACTTATTTCAAGCTTTTGCGAACAATTTGAATGTAAAATTATGAGGTTATATATATGTACAGTACAATTTAAGGTGTCACATTTGATGAAGTATAAATAGGATTAACTTGTTCTAGTATGACAGGATCTGTCAGAAATCAGATTTTTTTAAATCAGTTTTTGGTTACAGCAAATAATTTGTAAATACAAAGTTCAACTGTATTTTGACTACATATGCTTTGATTTAGTTAATTTTAAAAAACAAAAACTTCTGTACAACATGTTTCATACATAACTAACTAATAAACAACTTAATTAAACAATTTTCTCGATTGTTTTTTTTTTCAAATTTAAAATTACATTACAAAAATTTCATAAATTTGAAATTTTTTTATATGTATTTGTATTTTAAAATTTTATTTTTAGGTAATCAATATCGTAAATTGTGTGTACGATATTGTGCTTGATGTTTGTTTTTTTTTTTTTAGCAATTTTTCCCTCAAACATAATGATATCTATCTCACGTTCATCACGTTCTTCACATTTTTACTGTTTTGTCTTGCTAATTTAACTTATTTCCTCTTTAAAAATATGAGAGTTTTTTTCTATTACTATCTATCTGAGGCTGTTACAAAAGTTCTCAGTTTACTGGTATTTTCACGTTTCCAAAGATGTTACAACTAAATTGTGGAAAACACTGCTTGCTGATTCGCCCATCATAGCCGCTTGACCACAAGAATCACTGCTCACAGTGGAAGGCGGGCTAGGCGAACCCATACGCAGCGCATCCATGATTACTTCGAATTCCTTCTGATTTTGATTGATATCGAAATCTAATTCCATTTCGTTGCTGTTGAGTTTAGAACGCTTTCCCGTTATATTTGACATACCGACTCCGACACCGCCACTCACGCCCACGCTTATAACATCCAAAGGACAATCTTCAATAGCTGAAATAAGACGTTGTGGTGGTATGTAGAACTGGGACAGAGCTTCTCGTACCAAACGGTCACTTTCATCCTCATTACGTAAGCGTTTACGTGACGAAATTGCTTTCTCCAACTGTTCAGCGCCTTGTGTGATTTCGGGATCAATCAATGGCATAGGTGCGTTGATAGCACTCAATTCGCGATCAAGTTTTTCCAAATCATCGAGATTATTACTTGAGAAGTGGGTTTTACGTATAAGCGATTGTGAAACGGTTAGATTATTGTTTTTATTACTGGCGGCATCATTAAGATTTAGCTGATGGTTACTACCGAAATTGGCCACTTTCGTAAATTTTTCTAGTTGTTGGTCTTCATTGGTCATACGAGGGCAATGGGTATTGCTAGCAGCCTTAGAGGATGGTTGATGATTGGAACTATCAATACCGCAACTGTTATATGGATTAAAAATATTATCTCGAGCAGTTTCAGGTTTAGTATCAGACCTAAAAATAAAAGAAAAAGTTAATTAGAAATTTATTCAATCTGAATTATTAAATTATGTTAATTATAAATGAAATAGAGTGATGAGGTATTGAAAAGTGCGCGGTTTTTGAAAGTATTTATGTATATTTAATACCTAGTCCTTCTAGGTTTTTTGGAAAGTTTCTAGCAATACATCTCAGAAATTTTCATTATTAATTTTCATTTCATTATCAAGGAAAAGTTTAGATTCCAGTGCATTTGCAACTAGACCAGGGCCTGTTTCAACTTCTACCAAGACAGACCATTAATCTGGTATATTCGTATAGATTGTATTAGGTCAGGCTACATTACAAGATCCGCATGTTCGAATTTAGTCACAGATTTAACAGAAAGATTTACGTAATTGGCATAACGCTCTGTTTGCATCCACACATCTGCTATCTGCGAACGCGATAAAGCAAATTTCACAAATCCTTACAAAGTCAACAGAAAAGACGGAAAAAAGAAAAACAACTGCAAATGACAACGATAAGAAACAAGTACCCACACAGTCAGAAAAAATTAAATGAATTGAAATAAAATGGAAAATGAATAATGTAAATGTAGGCCGTGATGATATGAAACCGTTGAACGGCTGTAGCAGCAATTAGTAGTTGATAGCAGCGAAATATATATGAGCAAGTGAACAAATTTATTGTTGGAAACGAAAACAATTGTATTGGTATTAGTGACGACTAGATCACAAAGTAAAAACGTTTTAGGGAATTTCTGAAAAATACTTCAGATAGACAAAATACACGAGGCACACTTTTTTTTATGTAAATACATTTTATTGAATTGAAATAATTTTGTTAATTTTTTTTCTTTGCCTTATTAAAACAAACTAATCATTCACTTGAAAATCACAGTGAAGAAAATACTTTTTTAAAGCGTCTATTACACATCAGATTTGATCGTACAACTTGTCTGTTGAAATGCGAAATTTGTGCCAAATATGATGTGTAATAGTAACAGACCATCCTGCATACATGATTTTATTTTGTAGTATATTTGTCGTTTTTTTTGCTGGGGGCGTAATAAAAATAATCCCGACTGTGTCTGATGTGTAATAGCAAGCGACATCAGACAAATTGTACAAACAAATCTGATGTGTAATACGCGCTTAATAATGCTTGTGCGTGTTAACGCACTTGATTTAAGCTTTTAACGGTTTAAACGCTACAAACTCTAAAAACAGAATAACAAAAACAAATATCAGGAGAAACAACTATAATAGAAAAAAGCGAAAGTATGAAATTTCACATCTGTTTTACAAAAATTCGTATTCATTGCAAGTGTGTGTGTGTGTGTTGTGCTAATGTGCATACAAATTATTATACATGTATTGATGACATGAGTGTAGCCATGAAATGTGGCAAAAGTTATTAAAATACGGTAAGCGATGAAGAACATTTAGGGGGCCATTAACTCATGAACCCGCTCTTCATTATGAAATATTACTTCGGCGCATCTTTAGGAAGAACCGCCGTACCACATTTTCATAATGCAACGTACGAGAAATACAAATGTTATTGCGGAGAAAGCATTGAAAGTCAAGTATTGGTATATTGCGCTCTGCACTTATGCAAAGCAGTACTTCTAAGCTAACCAAAACAGCGCTTTGAGGAATTCAAAAATCGAACTGCGTTGCAGTATCAGCCTATCGTGATTTCTACACATGTACATGCGTAGATGCACATGTGTAAGTATCTCTTGCTTTTTACTTTGCAGCCTTGAACTGTAAATCTAATCAAAATCAAAGTAAAATAATCGAATTTGCTTCAATAAGCTATAGAAAGAAAGTGAACTAAAAACATTGAGTTTATATAATCAATAAATAGTTTATCGGCGGACGTTAATAACATAACAATTACAAAGAAGTCAATGCTATACCTCTTAATATTTTTATTATTATTGGTCATAACTTTTTCTATCAGAGTTGTAAAAAAACATCATTAAGTCTGGTTAAAACAAATTGGCATCACTTTTAAAATATATTGAATGCTTTTTTTTGACATGTGTTTTTTGTTGTGTATAATGTGAAATATAAAAATTTAAACACTAAAAATTAATTAATTTAAATAAAAGTAAACAAAATGAATAAAAGAAGAGAAATGGAAAGCAAATGTGGCAAAAAACAGCAAGTTACTGGCCTATACTGGATCAAAACTAAGCAAAACCACAACACTATTTTCCCTATCTAGACGAATAGTTGTTTTCCTGGCCGAACAGTTCGGCCAGTAAAGATAAAAGTGTTACCAACTAGTGCTGTTCATATTCGAATTTACGAAGTATTCGAAGAATTCGAATATTCGAATAGTAAACGAAGTCTTCGAAGTTGAAAAAAACTTCGAAGTTTTTGTGAATTTTTGTTCTCGAAGTCTTCGAAGTTTAAGTGTAGTGAAAAACTTCGAAGACTTCGAAGACTTCGTAAGCAAAAGTTGAAGTGAGAGCGCAAAATGCAAACAAACGTGCATCACACAAATTATTTGAGAGATGAAAGCATTTGCTTCGTTTGTACAGTTTTATGTTTTTTTTTTGGTATTCTATGCAGAAAATTAAAAACATGTTTTTTTGTTTTATTTTATTATATAAAATTTATTTTATTATTAAATATGTATTATAATATATATTATTATTAAATATGTTATTATTAAATATTATTTATATTAAATAAAAAATTTACATTTTAAATAACTTATATTTATTATTTATATTTAAAAAATCATAGTTGAGAAAATTTTTAATATAGTATAAAATATGTACGTAATAACATGAAAATATTGATATTGATGGATTTTATTAGTAAAGGAAATTTTATAAAAGTTTTCATTTTTCTTTTAAAAAAAATCACAAATTAAAACCTTGAAATTAGTTATGAAAAAATGAGTTTTGCTCATTAATGCATAATTATTTGACATGTATGAGCTGTGATGATCACACAGGTAAGCACAAATTTATTTTTTGCATAATAAAAAAATAATTTTTGATTTTTTTATTGTAAATATAATTTTTTAAATATAAATAATAAATATAAGTTATTTAAAATGTAAATTTTTTATTTAATATAAATAATATTTAATAATAACATATTTAATAATAATATATATTATAATACATATTTAATAATAAAATAAATTTTATATAATAAAATAAAACAAAAAAACATGTTTTTAATTTTCTGCATAGAATACAAAAAAAAAAAAAACATTAAACCGTACAAAGAAAGCAAATGCCTTCATCCCTCAAATAATTTGTGTGATGCACGTTTGTTTGCATTTTGCGCTCTCACTTTCCCTTTTGCTTACGAAGTCTTCGAAGTTTTTCACTACACTTAAACTTCGAAGACTTCGAGAACAAAAATTCACAAAATCTTTGAATTTTTTTTCTAACTTCGAAGACTTCGTTGAAATGCGAATATTCGAATATTCGAAGAACTTCGAATTTTTAAAAACTTCGAATAATGTGAACAGCACTATTACCAACGCTATAAGCGAACTATTTATCATATATTTTCATACAAAATGTTTGCTTGATTTGTGCGCACATATACAAGATTCGGTGTTTGTGAAAACAAAACATTTGGCATCACTGTTGGATGCCAAGGCTCGCTTGGCGAATATAGGCCAGCATGCGGTTTTGCCACACTTGCGAGCCACCGAAAACGCCTTTTATAGTTTTGAGATATTGTAATTTATTATTATTTTTGCTCATATGATTTTAACGGATGAGTGGAATTTTGCAACACATTTCCTGTGAACATTCACAATAGATTGATGTTAGAATTTGGCAGCACTAAAACTTAAGATTTTAAGAACATTGTGTTGCTTCACATATTTTCTTTCGTCAATTGCGAGTATTTTTTTGTTACTCTGAAAGAAATAATTACGGTTATTGTTACTTAATTTAATAGAGGAAGGAAACTTAATAGAAAATAACAAAACAAAAAAAAAATAGTGAAACGGTGTAAAGTGTGGAAAGAGTAAACAAGTTATTTATAAAACTAAAAGTTAGAGCAGAAGCAGTACAACCCGCCCGACAACGGTGTTGCTAGTAAACATGTTTGCGCGAGTGTTAGTGTATAAGTAGATTGTTTATTACTTCAGATGGTGCCACTTGACGGAAGTGATCTAGTAATGTAAAGTGATTACGCGTGCCAGTGTTGAATAGAAATCTGATTTTCACATTTTATGATTTTTTGTTTTTGTAATTTTGCTTATAAAATTTAATTGTAAATTATCTTTTCTATGTTAGCTCATTCGTATTGATCACATCTAGCAGAAAAATTTAACTGATTGGTTTAATTAAAGCAATGTAGTTTCTAAAAAGGCTTAGCAAGTTATAATTAGATACAGATGAGAACAGGCCCAAAAAATGAACTGTATTTGTAATTATCCAATTATGTTAGAACTTTAAATATGGACAAACCAAGACCTCCAATTCTGATTTTTTGTTTACTAATTTATAATTGTTACCACGAAAAGATTACAACAACAACCATCCACTTATTTCGCAGCCCACCAGCGAATAACAACGCAGCAGCTACATAATAGGAAGAGAAACTGAAAAGCAGAAAAATCAAACATTTAGAGTTGCTTTTACATGAGAGAAGCGCACTCACTCATTCCTGAAAATTTCTCCGCATCAATCAGGTTTTTTTGAGCTTTTATTATTTATTTAATTGATGATCCGCAGTTTTTGTTGTTTTGCTTCAGTTTTATTTGTGTTTTTTTTGCTTATAAAATACACAAAGAGAAATAAAAAATATGTATGAGAGAGAGATAGACAGAGAGAGAGAGAGAGACTGCATGCAGTGTACACTTCATTCACACCTCCGACATTTTTTCAATGTTTATATGAAGTATCATATAAGAGATCGGCAAGTGAATATAAATTGCTTTGCAGGCATGACTTTTTTATGCACAGGCAATAAATTTGTGTGTACACAGAGCAAAACTAATTTCGCCTTAACACTATTTTATCGTTTCGAAAATATTAACAAAACTAATTTAAATAGTCCTAAATTGTTAATGGTCAGCCTTTAACATTTATTTAGAGTTTTATTAAAGTTCATAAAAATAATTATTTGCGTTTACTTGAAATTCTTATTGAACTTTTTATCAATTATTGAATGTTCATATATTTGTTGCTGTGCATTTTCGTACTACACTAAAAAATACGCACCAAGAAATTTCTATGTATAAGTACCATAATTTATACACAAAATTATTTTTTTAAAACGGTACATTATGGTACATTATGTATATATGTAAAAATATGTGTCGCAGTGTAATAGATACGCAATAGTACAGTATACTCTACCTATAACGAAAAACATTTTGAAGCTGTAAGCCATGCCGAATTTCTTGTTATTTTGAAGCTTTTGTTTTTTGAAGACTTGAGCCTGTATTATGAAAAGTAATATATAAGTAATTTATATTATGAATAAAATGAAAATATTTAAAGCAATATTTTACTGCAATAAAAATAATTTTATTCATTGTATTAAATACCAAACGACCACAAATAATCTCATACTTCACCACCCAGTAGAAAAAGTGGTCTTCGAAGACATTGTCTTCAAGACGGTCTTTGATACCGCGTCCGCATTTTCAAGCAAATTTGCAAAACAATTGCTCAAAACATGAATGTAAATACTCTTTCTTTGCTTTCTCTCTCATTTTTAGTGTTCATAGCAACGTATTTGAATTTTGCCTCAGATGACGCTATGTTTTATAAATGAAGTGACGCAATAATTTTGAAGTGTAGTGAAATAAATATTAAAAAAATCAAAATAAATAAAGAAACAAAATTATTAAACTACGAAATATTAAAAAAAAAGAAATTAAATCAAAACAAATTAAATAGTGACTTAGTTCCTGAAAAATATATTGATATTAATATTGAAGACAATAATTCCAGTGAAAGTTGTTTTAGAAACGAAACAAAGGATGTTGAAAATAAAAAAACTGAAAACACTTGTGAAAAATTAGCTGTTATATTTAAAAAACACAGGATTAACAGGCGTTGT